CCAACATGGGAAGTAAACTGCCCGTGTAACTGTGCCAACATGACAAAGCAGGAAATGCTAACCTAAACTTTGGTTCCAAATTTGGAGGCAGACTCAACACAGGCCATTTCAGTGCAGGGTTTATGATCCCACAATGTCAAGACAAAAGCCATGCTCTAAGGATTTTTGAGAACAAGGAAATCCAGTAAAAATCCTCAAAAATCTATTGGGAAAATAAAACTGTTCAACAACTTAAAGAAAACAGAACATCACTGCAAAAACATAATGCAGTCCATGTCAGGGGACAATATTTCACATGTGATTGTTGTGGGTTTTATAAGCTCAGAAGATCCTAGACATGGATAAGCACACAAGCAAGGAGTCAGCCTACAACACATGACTTAAAGCTCTCTTGTGCCTACAAGGATGATTAGACTTGATCTCCTAGGTATGCTATTTACCTGTATTTGGAATACTGTAGTATTTAAGTCACTACAGCAAAGCATGCTGATCTCTACAGACCAATGTTAAGTTTTACTTAACATTAACAATTAACATCAGCAATTCTGCTACTGTAGCTATGAATGGGTCCAACTATATATTCAGAGAGAACTATGAAGTAGCAGTTAACCTAAGATTGTATTGTCTGATGGTCATATGTGGTATGAATAAAACACTTGGAAAAAACTTAAGGTGTTTAAAACAATGCCAACAATACAGAATACCTTCCAACTTCCAGATCAGAAATATCTCTTTCCAGCCCTCAGCATATTTTTAAGTTCCCAAAATACTCTTAATCAGTTGAATTCCATTTGGATTTTAGTTTGTCTCAATATTTCTTAGTTATGCTTCTGTTCATATGTGAAATGCACTGCAGAAAAAAAAAAAAAAAAAAAAAGGCTTTCACCAAGACTGCACACAGCCTGGTAAGTCATCCAAACAAGTGTTTCATGTATTACTCTAACTCCAGGCAGCACTGTGATTGAAAAATACTTATATTAAGTCCACTTGCATTACAGAAGCATTATGGTTGACTGTTCTGTTGCAAAACAACTAAGTTAGCATGTGCTTTTTTTTTACATCAAATTTCTTTAAAAGTCAAACTAATATCTAAGACAGTTTTACTGTATCAATAATAATTACAATGCTGAAGAATATGTGCAAGATACTCTAAGGGAATAAAAAGCTCATAAAAAGCTTATGTTATTGAAAAACACTCTGTCTGCCGTATTAAAACAAAATTTTACCCTGAAATAAAATCTCTAAAAATGCTTAGATGTATCAACTCAATCACTTTGAAATCCACTTAGATAAGTGTATTTTAGCCTCTCAAAGCTTATTCTATGCAATACTGCTGAAAAAAAATAGGAGACCTTCATTCCACAAATAACAACGAGCAAGGTGAAACACCTGGGGTATGGGAAAATCAGAGCTTTAGCAATTTCGAACATCTGTCAGATTCTAGTTTCGTCAGTGCTGTGCTGGTCCTTTGCATGTGAATATCAAAACTCTATTGAAACGTATATTTTACCTACCTTAGATTCAGTGCTTAATCTTCAAAATCTCACTACAGACTTCAAATAATTGAAGTACATTGACAGTTCATTTCAATCATTTGTTTACATTTTTACTATAACAGCAGCTACCTTTTCCATGTTTTCTGTTTCCACAGAAACACATCTATTAGTATTTAACCCTTCTATCAACGATTACAAACTGCACATTTACGTCACTCAAAACTATTTAGTTAAATTGTGACTATACATGTACTGCTGAACAAACCATAGTTGTAAGGCTTAGTGTATTCCAAGAGGACAAAAAAAAAATCTGCTAGTAAAAGGCTAAGTATTTCAGACTACCTAAAACAATGGAGAAGCTTAACTGGAGAAAAACAAGAGAAGTCAATTAGCTAAGTGCAAACTAGGCTAATCAAGTACAACATTTTGTATGACAGTAAACGCTCCCTGAAATTCATGTGTTTAAACTGCTTTCTTCCTGAAGACATCCAAATCCTGTATTTTTCCTAAGTTCTCCATAAAAATGCAGAAGGTGAGAAGGACCGCTATTTTTAGCAAAGGCTAAAAGCTGACACCCTATTTGAACATTCATTCTTCTGCTATCATAATCATCACAAAGCATACTATGGGGGGAGAAGCTATTATTGGATTCGAGCAGTATAATACTGAATTTATCAATCTCAAAGTGCTGCAAAAGTTAAAGGAACAGCCACCTTAAAATATGTGTACTTTCCAAAACCTTTTTGTCTTGACAAAAGCCTTCACAAAAACCTGGATCTACCAATCCTACCTAAGATAAAGTGTTTATAAAGTCATAACATAGCATTAGTAGTAGAAATAGCTTTTGAAAAAAATCTTCCAGGTTCTTAACAATCTAAATGTATTGACAGTGTCCCTTTAAGATCTAAACGTGAGACGCAGTGATCATCTGACCACTTGATAACTCCATCTTTGAGTAACTGAGTCAGTACTTATTTACTTAAGTAGTATGATAAACACTCATAATAAAAATCCAAACATTAAAGTTGCAAGAAAATATGAAGCAGGAGATTTTCTTCAATTTCAGAATGACCGTTCAGCCATCACTCTTGTTCAGGATGTCAGCTGATGGAGAACTCTGGCCGACTTTGAAAGAAATCAAGTAAAGTGAGTCACAGTGCCATTCAAACAAAAAGTTCATACTCAGTAGGGGGACAAAATATCACACTGCTGGATGACATAACCAGAGAATCCCATCAAGCTTGTATCATGTCTTGTCATTTGCACGTATAAGAAAAGGCTGTTTTACAATTCAAACGTGAAACAAGTGGATCTTGGCAAATATCTTAGAAGCTTGTCAGTACACTAAAATACAAGAAAGTTAGTCAAAAGATCTTAAGCCAGAAAGACTTCCCACAAAAAAAAAGGCGCTTAATAAAAGTTTGGATTTATTATGTCACATAATACCACACCTAAGAGAGTCTAAATGTTGCTTTTTTGTAAAATTATCTCCTCCCACTCTAAGATAATCATTCTTCAAACATCTGCCTGCTGTATTTTAGTTAACCACTATTTTGTGATCTTAATATTTGCAGGTGCTTTAAAAAAAGAGAATCAGTACTTGATGTTCTGAGTGAAAACTATTTCAAATTCAAGCGAGCATTCTGATCACTTATTTTCCTGAATTTTTAAGTTTCTCAGACTATGGTTAAATACCCATTCATCTGGAGCCAATTTTAGGTAGTAGACATGAACAACAGGAAGACAGGATAAAAAGACATAGCGCTCAAAGACCAATGTGATGGGACAGTTAACTGCCCTGGATCTCACCCTGCAAGTGCTGGAGGACCAATTAAGTGCTCCAGAATTATATCTGATTTATGTAAAAAAAAAAAAATGCTACTTTGATTAGAACAGCCAAAATGGGAATCTGTGACTTCAGCAGCAGATGACCTGGCACTTGCAATATATTCATCTATTTTTGCAGACACTAAAAAGAGTTAGGATTTCTATTTAGTCACCTGACTGCACATGTGAACACCTCTTCAACAGCCAGCTCCACATACGGAATGGAGCAAAAAACATGCATAAGCACGGGTGAGTTCAAGCCCAGAGATACTTATAACCAAAACAGATAAAAGTCATCGCTTCATAGAAAAAAGGGAATATTGCAGTAATGAACACTACTTGTGAGTTAAAACAATCATGACAACTCAACTGCCCACTTGATTGAGTAGCTGAGCACAACTGGTTCACTTATAGCAAATTATTTGATGTGAATTAGAATAATTACCAGTAGCAACGGGAAAGAGCAAGTATTCTGTGTATGTGCCTACAGTGGTTAACTGTTCAAAAAGATTCGTGTAGCTCATATAACTAAACAAAAACATCAAAATACAGGGAAGATTACACACAGATGTATGAGGTCAGATGGTAATAGAAAAAATATAGCCATGTGTGGAACTACCACTTTTTTTTTTTAATTTCATCACTGAATTGGGATTTTAAAAATGTTTAGGCTCACTTGATCATCTAGTGGCAAAGCATTACAATGCAGCATGACAAATTTCCTTCCCAAACAGACGTGGCATGTTATCACACAGACTCTGCACAGACTGGAAAGGGGAGGGGAAGAAAGGGACTTATGTTCACAACCACATTTCCATGTTAAATACCAAGAGCAGTAACTAATCCTCAGATAGTGAAGGAAGCATTACATGAGAATAACAACCAAAAAGGGCAGATTCAAGTTAGTACATCCCATGTGAAAAATACGTGTTATACTTTGCCCAATACTAATAACATCCTTCAAGTGAAACAAATCCAGGCTTTGATCCAGTGCCAGAAAGAACTCGGTACACTTCCTAATGCACACATTTAACCTACAGTTTTTGTCTTTTAGCAACTCATATCGATGAGGAAAAGAATGTTGGCCCACCCCAAACAGAAGTCCTGCTTTAAAGGGATAGTTGCATTAGAGATATTTGAAAAGCACAACTTCTCAAGGCTCTGGTACAAAAGGCAGGTTTATAAAGATACAGGTATGCAGAGAAATGCTGTGGTAGACTCACTGGAAAGAAATGGTTTTCAAAAAGTCATGCTCCTTCTAGTATTTTTGGACATGTAGTGTTATTACAAAAATGGCTCATCTCCCAAACTGTACTTAATTGATTATACAGCACTGTATAGAGAAAGCAAAGTTCTCATAACTATATCAGGCTCCTTAGCTAAGGTACTGAACATAGACTTGATACAGAAAAAAAAAGTTACAGTTGAACTGAGAATGTCAGCTTCGAGGCTATGTCACAGCTTAAAAACTGAGGAATAACCGAATTTAAAAAAAGGTAAGTTGAGTACCAAACTATGATCACTGACTATTTCTTCAAGCTATTTGAGCTCTGCTTATTTTTGAAGAAGTCCCCATATTGAGTATTTCATGAAGATGCCACTTTGGACAACTAGCTAATTGCTACCTCTGGGAAGTCTGTGTTATAAGATTTTTTCACCTATTAACAGTCAACCTACCTGCCCATAGTTGTCTATGCCAGTTACTAATCTATTTAAGTTTAATAAATCAAAAGCTGTCCTTAGGGACTGGCCAAGAGTTGTAAGTCCTTCAGCTTGAAGGTTCTTCAGTTCATTCATAAACGTTGCATGGTTTTCCTTCCAGCCAGCCTGCAAAGAGAAACATGAGAAGACTTATTCTGCAGATACACGTTTTACTTTCCTGTTAGGCTACAAAGTGCCTTCCACACTGCATACAGCTCACTACAAATGCTAATAAAACAGAAGTTACTTTATATTTAATGCTGTCGAAAAAGCCTGAAAAGATGGACTCCTCTTAAACCTTAGAGTTCCCCACCTAGCAAACAGGCATTTTGTTCCACAGGACAAATTTCTGTGAAGTCACCGGTGCCAAAAATCTTATAACTATTTACACCACCCTCCCAGAGCCCTTTCCAGATGGAAGGTACTTCCAACAGGTTCACCCTCCTCTGTCATGTGGACCCACCACCCTCTTCCACCGCGCGGTGCGCCTCCCTCTCCCGGCCCCGGAGGGGCGAGGGAAGTGCCGTCCCCTTCCGAGTCCGGGCTCTCCGGGCTGAAGTCGGTCCTTCCGCCAGCTCGCCCCTTCGCAGCCGAACTCTCCTTGGAGTTGCTGTCACTTCTCCCAACTTGAATAAATATCCCCCACAGTTCATTGCTGCTCGCACACACCGCACAGGGGAAAGCGTCGGCCATGTTGATGTCAGCGCCGCCGCCGGAGCCCGTGTGTGCCGCGCTGCCCGGACCGCCGGCAGCTGGGCCGAGGCGGGCGGGGGGCGGCGGGGCCGGAAGGAGGCCGAGGAGGAGGGGGGTGAGCGGGGGTTACCTTGATAGCGTAGGGAGGCTCCTCGAAAGTGACCAGCATGTACCTGTCTCCCCTGCTGGCCGGGTCCCGGGCTCGGAGCTGCGGCACGGGGGACAAAGCAGAGGGTGAGCCAAGAGGCGGCGCCGCCGCCGGAGCCCCCCGGCTCAGCTCGGCCCGGCCCTCCCCTCCCTCCCTGCCCGCACACACACGCACTCGCCCGCTCTCTCCCCGCGCCCCCGGCCCAGGCAGCCCCCCGCTCCCTGCCGCCCCCTCCCCTCCCCACGCAGTCACTCTCGCTCTCTCTCTCGCCTCTTCTCGCAAGGCAGAGCCCGGTACCTTCATGAAAGTCTCTACAGCGCCTTTGGCTATGTCCAGATAGGTGGTGCCCAGATGGGTGCGCTGGTTCATGGAGGCGGACGTGTCTATCAGGAAGAGTAAGATGGGCATAGTGCGGAGGGCCGGCGGCCGGGCGGCTACATGGACAGCGGGCAGGGGGCTGAAGGGAGAACCGTTGGGCGGGGTGGGGGGGGAAAGGGGGAGAGAGAGAAGACGGGGGACGGGAGAGGAGTAAGTGGCTGTGAGTGCTGTGCACGGGGAAGGGCGCCTCCCCGCTGCCCCTCTGCCGAGGCGGGGGGGAAGGGGGGGCAGCCCTGCCTGCCCTGCCCTCCTTTGTGTGAGGGGCCTGCTCAGCCCAACACAGGCTGGTTTGTGAGGGAGAGGCGGATAGGGCTGCGCTGCTGGCTAACCTTCCCCCCACCACCACCTTCCTCCTCCTCCTCCTCCTCCACCGCCGCCCGCCCTCCCCTCCCCCTGTTGATGTTACTCAGAAGTTTCGGGCGGAGCAGCCGTAACCCCGCCGCCCCAGCACTTTCTCGCTCTGACTGAGGCGCTTCCTCACTCGCCGCCCGTTTTTAAGGCAGCCTGGGCAGGTCGGGCCCCGCCCCTCAAGGACACGTCCCTGTCCCACGTGACCGCTTCCTAGCCCCGCCATAGGGCAGCCCCTACCCGCCTCGTTAGCATATTCAAATCGGCGGGGCGGGGCGGCTTCGGCCGCCGGGGGAGCGGGCGGCGGGAGGGCGCAGGCGCAGCTGCAGGGGACGGGGTGGCGGCGGGGCGGGGGACACGGGGCTAGGCTGGGGGCGCTGGCCCTCAGGGGGACGTTCTGCATGGGCGTTTCCCATGGACAGTCTCCATGGGCGTTCTCTATGGACACTCTCCAGGTGGCGGAAATATGGGGGGGCAGCGCGAGCGGGAGGGACGGCGGGCTCTGCCGCCGCCGCCCCCCTGGCTGGGCTGTCCGAGGGCTGCGGGCTGGCGCGTCCCGCGGGGCAGCGCCCGGCCCGGCCGCTCGGGGAGGGCAGTGGCGCGGCCCCGCGGGAGTGCCGGGACGGGGCGGTGACTCCGGCGCTGGCACTCACAGTTTGTCCGCCGGGAGCGGGCGGGTGAGTCACGGGGGTGGGAAGGAAGGAGGGAAGGGGGCGGGCGCTGCCCCCGCCCCGTCTCCGGACGCCGCCTCTCTCCTTGAGGCTGCGGGAAGATCTCAGGTTGCCCACACAGGCGGTCCGTCCAGGGTGCCCTGTGCTGCGGCCAGGTGCCAGCGCAGCCTCTGAGGCCCTGGGGGTGGCCGGGCAGCCCCGCCGGTGCCGGGGGAGCGGGGGGGCTTGCTCCTCAAGGGAACTTCGGCTCCTGGCAGACACCAAATGGGCCGCCTGTCGTACCCACTGGGTTTGGGATGTAGAAAACGATCCAGTAACATTTTGGTGATGAATTCCCAGAGACATGATCTGGCCTTTCACTCGATCCTTAAAGGGAAAAAAAAAAATTGGCTAGCCTTAGTTGTGACCTTTTCCCCTACATACGGGCAGAGATTAACACTAAGGTTTCTTTTGTCCACGCTAAGGCACTCCAAATTTACTTCCTATAAATAATATAACTGTTGAGTGTTTCCTACCAATTAATGATGAAGATCTGTGTTCTCAGTTCTTTGGCAATTTGTTAGGCATTGTTTTCCCAGCAATTGAGTCTGCAGTTTCTGCTCTCATAGCCTTGGAACAGTAACTCCAGAGCCATTTCTTAGCATAATCTGTTCAGGAGATTGCTTTGTTTCCTATCCAACTGGTATTTTGGGTTTTTTTCCTCCCGATCTAGCTGATGTGCTCCCACAGCCACTGCTCTAGAAGGTATGCAGCCACTGTGCTCCTTCCTTCTCCCAAGATAAAATTGGCAGCATTCTGGTTTGATTCATCTTGGTCTTCCAGGCAAGATTTGTGTCTTGTTAGGCAAGAGCTGGTTTGGGCTTTTTTTTTTTTTTTTTTAAGATTAATGAAAGATTTGCTTTTCTAGAAGAGAGAGGAATAGAATCACATTTCTGTTACAAATTGGTATGCATTCTTATGCCTTCAAGCAGCTTATTTTGGCTTTCCTGTTGGTGCTGCACCTGTGACCTCTGCCAGCCCTTCTTAGACTTTGGAGTGAAATCAAGGACACTTCCTTTCAGCCAGTTCACCATTCAAGGCCATTAAGGAATCTCCAGTCTCAAGGATCCTGTGAGAGCTGGGAAGGAATCTTTGGAGTCAATGCAGACCAAAATACAGCAACTGGATTTCTTTGGAAGTAACATCTTTTACTATGAGTATTTCTCGGTGTGGATCCTGCTGGTGGTGGCTAAGCTCATGTGCACCCACTGGCTCTTGAGCTGCTTGTATCTTTCCAGCAGTTCAGTGTTAGAGCTCTAGCACTGGTGCTGGGTCCCATGACCTGCAGCAAGGCTGTTCTGGTACAGGTTCTACTGTTTAATCTGAATTCCTGCTGTTAGAGGGTGCAAACCAACAGGTGCCACAGAGGCCACATTGCTGGGCTGCCCTGGAATCCAGCTGCTCACCAGTCCCCATTAAACAGTAAAATATTTGAACTGTCCGAGAGGCTTGGTTCATAGTAATTTTCTCTCTACAGAGGCATTTTGGGACATCTTTTTTTCCCTCAGCTCCCCACAGAAGGTGGCAGGTATCTTCTGCAGCTCCTAAGGTCAGCAGGATTGGCTGCTGGTAGTGTAGTAATTGTCTCCCTAAGGTGGTGGGATTCAAGTTATTAGGTAAAGGCTGCAGTGCTGCTTTTAACAAATTAGCCCTTGGGATTAGTAACTTCATTTTGGAGTAATGTTGACTGAGTGTATGATGTTGGCCTTTGATTGGCTTCCTTTTAATCTCTAGGATAGGTACATTCTTCAGGCATGCCACCTTCTCTCCTGTTTGTATGTTGCTGATGTTTCATTGATCATCCTTTTACATGTCAAACATCATGCATCTTCTTGTAGAGCATCTGAAAAATGGGAAACTTCTAGAATGGTTCCTTCCCCAAAATGCTGGAAAAGAAGCATTTTAGAGTCCTTGCCATACCAAGAAAATGTCATAGTGAAAGATAGTCTGGGCCATGAAGACTTTGCATAAATCCTGAAGGGTTGTTTGGAATTTTTAAGTTTTGTTGCCAGTAAATGAAGAGAGAGGAGGGGAAAAGCCATGTTAATTCATGATGCTAGAATTGGTCATAAACCAGCATGAATTCTGCATCATCTTTGAGTGTTGTAAGCTGTAGGCACGCTGTAACTTTCTCTGCCCAACACAAGAGGAAGGTGAGACCGAAGCAGCTGGCCCCACTCTACCCCTGGTCCCTCAGCCCTGGTGATTACCACCGATGGAGGAATCCTACAGACAAAACTTACACACAGTTACTATGGGATTTATACAAGGCAAACCACTTTACTGTACTTTTCTGTATATGCTTGCTTCTTTGAGGCCATTTGGAACAGCCAGTCCTTACCACTCCTGTGCACCTTATATTAGATCCCTTACAGGACAGAATTAAGGCTGGGTGTGTGTTTTCTGTGGTACGCATTAGTACTCTTCTGCAGGGAGCAGGGCAATTTGATTAATTTTGAGAGATTCTTTCAAAGACAGGTAATCAACCCAAGCCTTAAGTGTGCCTCAGCCTCTTGATGTCAGAGTTATAATGGCTTGTACTGCCATCGGAGTTGCATTTATAATTTACTGCAAAGGAACAAAACCCAGTGATATTAGTTCTTATGCTCATTACTGGCAGAACTGACACAGCTGAGCAGGGACAGTGAGGCTGTCAGTGAAAACAGATGCATCTTTTTTTGTTTGTTTGTTTGTTTTTTCCATTTTGTTTTTGTTTGTTTGGTTGGTTGGTTTTACATTTTAACATACAAAGCTTTACCCCATGCATAGTCCAAATGAGCCAGTTCTATTTTTTCTGCTGAATCTAGATGAATTATTTCAGCACGATTCTGGCTGGAGGAATACTGTTACTGTCCTGATGGTGAAAAAGATTCCGGCTACTTTCATACTGATTTGTATTTCTTGTACATGTACAAGAAAGCATGAATAGCTACGTGTGTCTAAGACTACTCATCTTCTGATCTTTAGAATGGGTGTTGTTCATTTGGAGGCAAATGAGATAGCACTGAAAATGCAAATTTGACTTTACATTTGAACGCTAAGTCAATAAACCAAAAATCAAATATAAGTGTGAAAATATACCTGAAAAAACCCATCATATGAAAAACATTGAAGAGCATTTTTGGTATCATTTCTTGTTACTGTGTTTTTCCTTAAACAGCTTCTTCTCCAAGTCTACGTTTGTGAGACTTTTGTTGTATTATCACATAGTGTTAGCCTTATTTTGTCCTAAACTGCAGGCTTGAATGGAAGATGTTGTGCTAAAGACCTTCAAGCAGATCTGAGAAGTAAAATTTTCTAATTGGCTTTCTCCTTCTCAGTATAGAGTATTTCCAGATCTTAGTCAGTCCAGGTTTTAATGACACAAGTAAATTTGTCAGAGCTTCCTTCAGAATACAATTCTGTAGCCTTTTAGATTGTCATTATTAAACTTTTTTCCCCTGTTTAATGGTCTTATATTTTCCGTCTCATAATTTTATATTACTGTATATCATTAAAATATATATCTTTATACAGCATTCCAAGTTTCAATTTATCTTTTAATACTTGTGTCTTTTTTAGTCTTCCTTTAGCCAAGTCCTGTGCATTCAACTTACTTGCTTTTTTTCTATAAATAAAATTTTATTTGTCACTTGTCTTGCATATATGGCAGCTTATATCGTTGAGGGGTTTTGTTGTTGTCCTGTTGGGTTTTTTACTAGTTTCAGTTCAGCGGGTTTTGACCCAGTTTTTTTTTCCTCTTCCTGAAATTGTTACCAAAGAGAAAGTGATTTAATCTTATATTTCAGGCAGCCTAGGGAAACATATAAAACTCATCCTAGACTGAGTAATTACTGAGACGGCTGGGATCAGATAAGATGTAACCCCAAAATTTTTTTTCAGAAAAGTGGCCTTAAGATAACTGGATTCAGTTTTTTATGTATATTCTAGGACTTGAACTGAAGATGCCTATTTTTCCAAAATTTGCAGAGGCAGCTACCTTCCTTTGAAACTGTTCAGCACCTTTTAGAAGCCTGTACTTTGGCTTCCCTAGCACCAGAACACAGTGAAATTACATCCCTCTGCAGAATGATGACATCTAAAAGAAGTGGCATTCTGGCTTCTCTTCGCCCATCTTCAAAGACTGGCTCTTTTCCCTTGTCCATCCGTTGGGAAGCCCAGAGGATAGCCTTTGAAGCTTCCTGGGGATTTTTGTATTCCCCACCACCCCTCCAGTCATCCATATCCCTTGCTGTTTCCTGGCTTGGGATTTGGAACTGCAGTGAACAGCA